GTAGCGATGCAGACAGAAGCGTGTACAGTATGAGCCAATCAGTGGCAGTAATGACAGAGCATGCGCTGTTACGCAAAAACCGCGTTAAGAGTGAAGCCGCGGAAGTCGAAGCGTGAAGTGGCGAGGGTTCACTGTATAATCTTTTTATAGATTCACTCCGTCCAATTAACAATACTATCCAGAAGCACAAAAAATGTGTTATAGTGTGCTAATTAAGTTTTTCATATGTAATACAAATATGAACGCTGATTTTCTAACACAGGAGGATCTGATTGATCTGATCTAACTGGCATTTTGTCAAACTCTGTGCTACACAGCATAAATATAAAGCTAACTAAATTGTGGTCCTTTGTCCTCATGTCTATATAAAGAAGATCAAGACAAAAGTTTAAAGAGTCACCTTTTAGCTAAATAACAGATTGTCTTGCAAAAGAAATATTATCATTTGTGAATGACAATAAAAAAGAAAAATCAGCTGAGACCCAGCAGTCAATGACTGCTCTGAAGCAAAGGTGAGAAGGTAAGGGGTCAGGGAAACTAGATTAATGAAAATGAAACAACCAGAGCGGAACTTATGAGAATGTTCACACACTATGAAGATTGTAACCAATGTCACTGAAAATGTTGGGTAGAAATTGTTGAATGGGAACCTGAACTGACAGCACACTTTTTATTTTTAATTTGAAGATGATTTTAACATATAGCAAAACACTTCACAGACCAAAATGATTATGAAAGAAAAAAGTTGAAAATAAGATATCATTTAAGTAAATAAAGGTGACATATAAGAAAAAGTCTAACAAATCAAATCAGTTTAAAATGAGATGGATAAAAATATGTACTGATTCTATACTGCCTATTAAAAACAGTAAATGTAACCAATTAGAATTAATTAATGTAAAATAAATGTATTTGTGTCAACAAAAAGATGAGACATTTTCTTCTGTAAGAAATACGACTTTTCAAAAAAAGCACGATTTGTTAAGTTATATTTTGGACCTAGGAACACTCAAAAATTTTTCCCCATCTAAATTCATGGGAACAACTTTGCTGTACACTGTTTTGGCTTACAACAGATTTCATAGAAATGTTCTACTTTTAGATAGCAAGGGAAACCTGTACCAGGCTTTTGAAGTTACCCAAACAAAAGTGCTACCTTAGGCATGAAAACAATTGCCACCACGTATATTTGGATTCCTCCCTTATACAAAACAGTCAAAGAGGTAAGGAGGATATGGAGTGTAAGTTATGGTCCTTACATAAAACTTTCGACTCAGCAACACAAATATATGATTAAGCAACATAGCACATAACAAAAGGTAGGTTTGAAAGAGCAGGTTTTCAATGGAAATTTCTAGCAAAGCTTGAGAAAGCTTTAAGGGAATAATAGGCACGCAAAGTGGGGGATTCAGGCAAATGAAATTGTTTAGTAAAGACACAACAATGGGGCTGATCACTATGCAAGATTGAAGGAGAGCATTTTGAGTGAAAGTAAGTGAGCAAGCATGTGCTCCTTTCTCCACCCCCATAAGTAGCTACGGTGCTGAAAATTTCTATTTTCACTTTGACAGTCATTGACAAATTCAAGTGCCTAAGTGACTGCTATCAATTTGCACGACTGCCTTTAAATTCCTATTAACCAACACCACTTGAATGGTTCCCTTAGCCTTAACCATGGAGCCCTGGGGGTGCAGTGGTTAAAGAGCTCAGCGGCCAACTGAAAGATGTGTGTAACGAACTCACCAGAACCTTTGTGAGAAAATGATGGGGCAAGCTGCCTCCCTACAGATGTACATCCTTGGAAATTCGGTGGGGCGGTTCTACTCTATCTTATACTATAGGATTGTTATGAATTGAAATGACTCCATGGTAGTGGGTTTGAGTTTATCCCCTAAAGTTATCTTGGTGATGCAATGAAAAGATTTTTGCTGAATGCAGAAATGAAAGCTATTGCTTTTTCAGGCTTCAAGGGCAAACAAAAGAAAATGCTATGCAATTTGGCTATTGAAAGCCTTCAAACTACAACATGACTAATAATAATTTCTCTCAAGTTCCTAAAACAAGATGAAACTCCCATTAATAGATGAAAGACTGCCCCTTCACTTCAAGCTCCATTGATAAATGACAGAGGAAAACTCACAAAATGTCTATGCTTTCAAAGTTCAAAGGAAAATTTCATCAAAATCTTTCAGTAACTTTCTGACAGTTGTCCAGGCATGTAAATGTGTACCTTGAATTCTGTTTGTTTGTGGGGACAGGATTGGAAAGGGGTAACAATTCTTTGCCCATTTTTTTCAGGGAAGAGAGGTGTCCAGAGTTTAAACCCCAACTCCCTTGCTCAGTAGCATTGTAAGTTCCCTTTTGAGCTTTTAGTGTCTTCTGTAAAATATGCTTAATGCCATCATCTCAAAGGATTACTGTATATTGAGAGTTTTAAATGGAATAATATGCCTGGCATTTAAGAGATGCTAAGTAGATCTGCTTTTTCTTTTTGCCACCTCTTGCTATGGTTTTAAACTCTTTATAAAAAGTAGTATTTTATAAGTTCTCAATGCCACTTGTTACTGGGGTGGTTTCACACAAAGTAGTCTTTAAGAATGGCAGCAGGGGAGAGGGTAAAAAGGGCTTTGAGGTGAAAATTCAGTAAAATCATATAGCAGTAGACAAACAAACCAATGCACACAATGGTGTTACGGACACCAATAAATTAAAATGGAGACTCTGTGGCAAGCCAACGGATGCTCAGAACAGAAGAATCAGAAGCTAAGTATGCTAAGTAGAAGTAGTAACTTGACAAAATTTTGAGTGAGATTAGTTAAAAAGTCCTTAGGAACTGAAAATACAGGGAATACAGGATGGATGAGCCCTATAGGACCAGTGGTGTGAGTGGCAAAACAGGGAGGGTGGAGGGAGAGTGGGTAGGAAAGAGGGAACCAATTGCATGGAACTGTGTGTGGCCTCCTCCCTGGGGGACGGACAACCGAAAAGTGGATGAAGGGAGAAGTCGGACAGGGCAAGATATGACAAAATACCCATTTGTAAACTATCAAGGGCTCATGCGGGAGGGGGGAGCGGGGAGGGAGGGGA